GAAATTCTAATGAAGCTTAAACTTGAGAACAACTGATTCCTAAGAATACCTAAGAATTTGGCGAATGCTTGATAATCGTGGGAATAGTTAAGAGTTCTGAGATTAAAAGTTCATTACTTATAAGGTCCCCCGTTATTATCATATCAATGCCTGCTGCTTTTACTGAATGAGTAATTAACTACAAAAAGTTTGTAGCTGCTGCTTGGTGATTTCTTAGCTCTAATACGGCTTGATCCTAAGAATATTTGAGAGCCCTGAAAATGCCTAACAATCCAGAGAATGAAATTTGGCCATTCATAAATTTCCCGCTTATTATTACATCAAGCTTGTTACTATTAATAAATGTATAATTAATTGCAAGATGTTTATAGCAATTCTTTGATGGCTGCTGAACAATAATATTCATCGAAGCAGCAGCTGATGTTTGTTGCAGAAAACAACGGATGCATTCCTGGCAGCAATGGAAAAGCATGCTGGTGGTGTAACAGCAGAACAGAAGAAAAACTGGGAAACACTACTGGCTAAAGCATATGAAGATATGAAAAAATGGGGCTGGTTTTGATGCATCAGCAACGAGTTAGCCAACAAGAATGAGTGGACAAATACCCCTCATTTTTTGAGGATCCTTTGACAGATTTTTCTTCTTCCGCTGCAAGAAGTCCGTTGTATTTGATCAAGATTTAGTGATAATTCTGTTTACTACTGATGAAGCCAAGCCGGCGAACTTCGAATGATCAAGCAGTTGCTTGAAATTCATGAAAAAATCAATATCTCCATGATTTGTTGATTTGACTGGATAGCACGGTAGCGTTGATTTGGACCTAATAACAACCTAGTACCGTTTATGGTACCTTTTCCTGAAAGTACACCTTGGTGTCCCTGTTCTAGCATGATGGACCAAGGCCTATATTTATGGCACTTTCTTTCAAAATAGCGTGTTGGTTTGTTTGCAATTTGCAAACTCGCAAATGAGGGAACTAGAGAACTGCTGCTTTCAAAAGATGAAACCAACCCTCCCGGAGAACAGTAGCCTGGAAGCTAATACTTCTGAAGGAGGTACCATAGACAGCTTCACTGCTACTTATTTGACAACAGTAGGGAGTTATCAAACCGTTTTCATGCACTTCGTCATTCTCCTAAATAACGAAGGAAATACAAGAAAAGTGCGATTTGACTTGTAGAACAGTACATTTCAGTTCTCTGTATCATTTCGCTTACATATTTGTGAATCGTTCGAATTTGTATTTTACTGCTTTTCGTTGATATTGGTAGAATGGGGATATTTTGAAAATAAGTTCCAATTTCCTGACGAAGTACCACGTTGGTATACTTTGGTCAGTTCCAGTTCATGACGTGATTATGCAGCTGTGCAGTCGGAATTGTTTCTAAACTATTTTTTCGAGAATATCACGCAGATCACGTGAAACTTCTCGATTACAAAATCCTTCTCTTTAATCGTTCACTTACAAAAGCGAAAAATACGTATCTGCGAGGTGCTCACAGGAAAATGAACAGTCACTCGCTTTGCTTCTGGAGAGGTGAAGTACATATATCGAACTAATTGAAGTCTTGCAGCTC